ATAACTAGATCTTATTTTCAAGGCATGTTTAATCACAATTACATTAAAATTATTCACTCAAAACAATCTAAAATGTAAACGTTTAACAAATCCCCTCAGCCGGCCGGGGTACAATTGTCAAACGCCGACCGGTCCACGGCGATAAAAAAGTTGGGGACCACTGCCGTAGAGTGCACCGGCTCGCAATACCCTCATATTTCACGAGACCAGCTGCTTGTAGTGTAATCCCTTCGCAACAAAATATTACATGTCTGCGTACTTGCGGAACAAGGAGGAAAGTAATATAATTCACCGTTTAACACATCTTTTGAAAGGAAATTGCAAGGCTGCAATCAAACATCTATCACATGCCTCCTTCATCCATCCATTGGTGATTATATCATTCCACTCGGGAGCTGTCCTGTCTACCTCGATCAGATTTCACCTGTGTGGTTCGCATGGGGGCGAATTGTTTGGAATATGATTACCTTCTACCCCATGTTCAACTTAGACCTGTGGATCCGTCACAAAGGTGATATTTCATCGCATAAATAAAGATGTTATGTTTAGTGATTGGTATCCATTCTGCTGCGACGGAGATGGTTCCGCTCCTTATGTTGCGAACTTGACTTCGAGATCAAACGGTAGCTTCTACTGCGCCTTCAACTATCCTACCGAACTAGTCGGAATACTCACCAAAACGAGGCAACCTATCTGCGCCTCTTGTTTAGAGCAACTTTTTAGTACCAAGCCAACGTTGTGCACTGTTGTCCTGCGTGCATCACTTGCGCTATAGCCTCAGACATCTCCTTTGCTCAGTTACAAAACGGTCTTGACTACACTTCAGGCTTATACCCGCACGCGTTTCCCTTCCTTCAAGGACTGTGTGCGCTCCAATGGATGTCTCAGATTCCCCCATTGTCCAGTGTGGGCGCGCGGCACACTGTGCACCGGCTGAGCTCCGTTTAGTAAAGTCTCAATTGCCGTCCATTTGAGTGGGACCACGCTAGTCTCACCCAAGTCTCGCAGTTTTCCTACCCACCTCCGAAAGCGTGAGTATTCTGCGCGTAACTGTGTTCAGTCTCTACGCTGTACCGAATTCTATTGGCTGGTAGCCTCTGCCCACGCAGTGCTAGGTGGATGCAAGTGCGATGATTATCGCATGATAACCTTTGCACTAAGGAAGAAAGCTTCTGCACTAAGGATGTTAGCAAGTGAGAAATGGTATATCGAGGCGACAGCAGTCGACGCTTAATGATCGCAAATAGCGTCACTACAACTCCAAGCCAAGAAACTCTTCCTAGACCGTACGCAGCGGAGCCGTTTTAGCTCATCACCCCGTCGCGCGAAGCGTAACGATTCAGGCTTTTGGTCTTACCACTGGCGATTGGTAAACAAGCCCGTAATTGCGAGCAACCATGTAGTTTCTCCGCCGCGAAGCAGGGATTTTTTCAAGCGACTAACGGTGTTGACAAAGCCCAGTTCTCTGTTGAAACCGGGGTGGAAGTCAGCGTCATTCCCCTTATGCCAGGTGCGCCTATCGCTTCTTTGTCGACAAGCCTAAGTGCCGCCAGTAGCCACCTACGGCCATCGGTCGCTTACCTGTGACCTAGGTCTTCGGCTGGGTATTCACCGTCGCTGCAGTCTCGTTCGCCATCATCGGCATAAGGATGTTAGCGAGTGAGAAATGGTATACTCGCGGATTTCACTGGGGCTGAGGCTAAGAGGAGTGAATGTTCTAGATTCTTTCGATGACACGGTCTGCTAGTTCTGCAACTGCTGTTAGAGACAAGGCGCATAGCCAAGGCGAGGATGGCTTGTGTGTTTTCCGGGAGACGTTGGATCTACATTTCGCGGAGACTCCCAGCGTCCATGCTAGATGTACCTATGAGCTGTTGCATACGTCTCAACAAGGCTGAAGGCATCCTGTCCCCTAGCTGCAGATCACTAAATAGTTGCTTCAGATGGACCTTGTCAGAAAGCGTGATGCGCTGAATAATAGCCTGTTTAAGAGTCTCGTGTTTCATTACAAGAAGGGGGCAGAATATGATGTCTCTCACCTGAGAGTACATACTCTGAGGAAGGCGAGATATTAGTTAATGATACATGGCGAAATAAGGAGAAATCATACGAATGTAAAAAAATGGATTCTAGCCGCAAAAAGTATAACGAAGGATCATTCTCCCAAAAAGAAGGAGAGGCTAACACAACTGTATTGACCATGACAGGCGCTACGGCGCTAACCGCGTATGGAAATGGATTATCCTCTATATAATCCATTGGAAAAAAACGAATTAAAATGGGGTAGATGGGGATGTGGTCACAAGTAATGAATCACAAAACCACTGGAACGTGCTCACCAGAATGAAGAGTCAAAATGGCGGGCGGCGAGTTTTGGACCTGGGTCACCAATCGCTGGGTAGCGCCTGGGATACTAGTCAGTAATCAATGACACGTAAGAGCCGTGTCAAATACGGGATAGTAAAAATGTTGGAGGCGACTGAACCCAACGTGTATTGTGCAGGCTACAAAAATAGGAAGCGAAGCAACCAATGCGAGAAACGGTGCAGCAAGATGCTCACCAAAACAGTGTGCCAACGGAAATGCCGTTTAATAGGTTAAAACGACGGTAAATTACTGAAATACGGTGTTTTCCGGTACACTACACGCTTCTAAGAAAAAAGTCATTGGTCAACGCAAGAATTTAGTCGATAAATCATTGCATGATACATATGTTTACAGAATATCAATGTAATGCCCAGATTTGTTAGCGAAGTTGTTGTTCGAAGTGCCCACCGGCCTTTTGCATGCAGTGCAGCATTCGCAAGTGTTCCGTTTGGTTGCAATAAGATGGCGCACCTACACACTATGCATAAACGGTACGGGATTTTCTCAACCAGACGTTCCCTTGCCGTTGCATCGGTCGATGACCTACAGAATGGCCTGCTCGGTCACCCACTGGATTTCTTCCTCTGGGGTTATTTGAAACAGCGAGTTTACAAAACGAAGCCAAAGTCTCTTGAGGAATTGAAACAGAGCATTTCGTACGAATGTCGCGGGATCACAGTTGGGAATTTGGAGAAAGTGCTAGCAAACACCATCAGGCGAATGTTGCACTGTAGGTAAAACGCTGGCCGGCACTTCGAAGATCAACTTCACTGACAAATCTGGGCATCACATTGACATTCTTTAAATATATGTATCATAAAATAATTTATCGACTATATTCGTGCGCTGGTAACCACTTGAAACTAATGACGTAACACCCGTTTGAATTGTAGAAAGTATTTTACTCACTTAGAATCTGTTCTCACTAGAATGCATTATCAAAATATGCGTTGAACGCACCAGCCATGACGATATTCGAAAGATTCAGATATAGCATTTTGGTAAAGTGCATTGGTTTAACCATTGATACGTCACATTCCACGGTGGAACATTTTGATTTTACTTTTCTTTTGCGTATCCATCCTGTGGGTCTTGTAATATTATGCTTTTTATCCCATCACTGATTATTGCACTATTGAATAGCAGATGAGGCTGTTTGCACATTTGAATGAACATCTGCCCAGTTTAACACAGACCAATGAGGAGACAAGTGGTTGTTTAACAACTACGGCGGTATACTTTGCCAATCCGTCCTGCGTTTGTGACACCGAGAAGTGCTGTACCATGACGAAGGATCATTGCGAATCCTTAACGCAATTGCGACGCAATGAAAAGGTTGTAATACTGAGACAAGATATGGGATCAGGTGTCGTCATAACGGAAAATCAGGGCTACATCCAGAAAATGCAGAAATTTCTCGCAGACTAGTCGCTTCGTTCATGTCATGACAGGCAGCGATAAAACCGAATGTGTTGTGAAATCAGAAGTTCGTGAACGAAAAACCCTAATGGCGATAGGATAGATTCACGCAAAACCTTTGACACAGCCGAGCACTCGAGCATCTCGGCTTCCTTATACATACGGACTGCCGAAAATCCACAAGGCATCCCTTACGACCAATTGCTTCAATGGTAGACGCACCGTATCAGAAATTGGCCAAATGCCTGGCGAATATAACCAAGCCTATGCGTAGGGAACTAGCCGACTACAGCCTTAAAGACGCGTTTGTTGATAGAATACTGAATTTAGACGTTGGCGGAGAAACATGGTCTCCTTCGATGTATGCTCGTTGTTCACATCTTTGTGGGATATTTGGAGGCTACAAAATTGCATTCTCGTATACAAAATGCTCATTTTTACCTAGTTACCTTTCAGTGTACTGAGAGAAGGCTGTCAGCGAGAATCGCAGAGCACGTTATCCCTAACATGGTTGCAAATTGCACCAAGCTACCTAACAGTTCGATTGTCCGCCACATACTCGATTGCTCTGCGTGCCAAAACCACCGGTGGACCGTTCAGCGTAATAAGCAAACAAAGATTCTCGTCTGCTTCAGCGATTTGGCGGCTGAAACAAGGCCTATGCAAACAGACAGGTTTTGTGATCCGCCTCACTTTACACTTTGAGACAGGAAACTGACAAGGAACAGCTACGCTCTATAACTTCGAAAAACCACTTGTGGCGTTTGCACCCTTTGCTAATTGAATCTGGATAACAACCGTTATAATGACATTATTTTATTGGGGTCCCGAGAGAAGTGCGTAAACAATCTCTGGAAAATGTTGTGGCTGAGTTAGCCTGAGAAACTAGAAGACCAACATCAAGCTAATATTCATAGGGTATGCAAATGTATAGACGATCGTATCAGCTGAAGCTGAGTCTAAGTGAAAGCAAGAACTGACGCATGTGGCAAAGACGACGGTCAAAAGTAGGAGTAGTTTGCAGTATGTAATAAAAGAATACCAAGGCGATACATCCGAGATCTTCGCAAATAAACAGATTAAACGCACAGGATTTACTGATAAATATGAAAAAATAGAATTAGTGTGAAAAAATATCGGAAAAGTGAAGGAGACGTCCGGATGAATCGGGTCACTGGTTTTCATTAACTAACTGACAGGTGGTTAACAAGAATGGATCAGCGTAATGCCCAATCTTTCGTGTGCCCAGATTATGCGAATGAACCGCGCAAACAGAGCATCGAGGCTTCCATGATTCCATTGGAGTCAAATTAGTCGAGGAAAGCCGACGAACAGGGCAGATAATAGAAGACATTTGATTGCTATTGGGATCATCGTGTTCAGCAGCGAGACATTTGACGTGTATAGCTTCAGGACACCCTGGTGTGGCACACTGGAGTGGGAAACAAAAGTTTCAACATTTTGAAATGCGCTTAAAATTTATGGTTACAGAAAAATTCGAGTAAATTGGTTAGCATAGTTGACACAAAGCTTCTTCAGGTAAGTTGAACCGACGGAATTAAGAGCTATTTCGAAAAACGATGGGACAACTAACGAGGTTGTTTGTATGCGATCACATGCAAGAGCACTTTAACACTAGAAGACCACTGCGCCGTTATACCTAGAACGCCCGAGACCGGTCAAAATGCCTGCATTACTGTTTTTCTTTATACTAAGTTTTATTTATATTTTTCAATATACTTATTAAAAACAATTTGTAAGACATATCTGTAACTAAAAAAATAATTGTAATGAACCTTAGTCTTTCCAAAACGAAAATAATTGCTTATTCAGATTTACATCTGAAACTGGTGATAACTCTCTATATCTGTCCACATGAGCACTTGCTCTTTGACTTGTTACCCGTACAGTAATCAATATGACACTGCCAACGTTCCCTTGTCTCACGAATTTCCAACTGCGCTGAGTATTTCGACGTAAGTCCAGTTGGATGATATATGGATTCACGCAGTTCTTCCGCAAAACCCTTCAGATACGACCGGCGGGATGATTTATTTCCGGAGACACTATCATATATCCAGGAATTAATGCCAACCAAATCCAGCACGTTGAAGAATACTTAGACTGTCCACCGTCGAGATAATGATTTGACAATGAGTGCTCTTGTCATTTGGTCGAGAACATCTAGCCCATAGTTGTAAAACAATACAGTCTATGACTTCTTTCCAGTCTTGAATGGAAGTGTTACTGCGCAAAGAACTGAAAACCAAGACATTTTTATTTCTTTTACACCGGTAGGATATTAATGTGTGCTTATTTTTATTCTGCATAATAAGTGAACTGAACAGCTCTCTACTGATTTGATGTACTCTATATGTACGCTATATCGCAGTTATCGTGTAAATCATGACGGTCCGAAACTGTCCCCCGTGGCCCAGTGGCATAAGCTGCTGACTGGGTTCGAATCCTGACGGATCCGATGGATGCGCACTACTGGCGATACTCGACAGGCTGAAACTGCAGTCTAGTGCTTTTCCGGGAATGTGAACGACTATCTGATTTGGAAACTGGCTGTGAAGAACCTCACTTAATTCTCTACTGCTTTACTTAAAATCATTGTCACTTCTTTTCTATTAGCTCGAATAGTTCCCGCCATACATGTATTTTTCTTGGAGAGTATTTCTCCCAACTCTGCAGATATGAAAAAGTTGTCACATGTGACATTGTTGCCTTTTCCAAAAAATGGTGACATAAGGCTCAATACTACGCGCTCTGGAACACGTTCTCTCTGGGACCGAGATTCGTCCTTTCCGAGATATGGAAATCCAGTCACGAGATATTTGTTGCCAAAATCCAAAACTTGTTACCGAACTTATTTGGTTTGTTGGCCATGTACTGAAGAAAACGACTGGGGGTTTTGGTGGGAAATAATTGCTCGTTGACGGTGAGATTCTGCGCGGGCACATAGCGCTGTTTGGATTTGCGAATAAACACATTCCGGAGTTCAGATATCACGGCAAATTTATCAGTCTCAGTCTTTCACTTCTGGTAGTTCGCATGTCAAAACGAAGGAACCTCATTATTTTCTTGAACCTGTTCTTGCCAATTGTCTCTCTGAAAACAGACAATCCGTATTTATCGTACCAAAACAGATTAAATGGCATGTTCTTCAAGCTCATTAAGGGTCTGATGTAAAGTAGCTCGATGAAAGCATGCTCCACTAAAACTGACACTTGAAACTCTTCTGGCCTCAGCTTCAGTACATACTTGAATATGTTTCAGCATCTGGAATCTAATTGCGATGTCAAAAGCACTCGAGAGCTCACCATATTCGACACATTTCTTATCGTAGGCAGTTGGTCCAGGTCTTGTAAACATTCCGTGATGGCATCCTACCAACAGTAGTTGTCTGGAACTCCACTGCGTTCCACGATGTACCATCTTTCGATATGTGAACTTCACCGGAGGATGTAGAATCAGCTTTTACACCCATATTACTGTCCTCATGAGAAGTGTCGCTGTCAGAACTTTGACTATCGGGGATGCTGTGGTTTTCTGTCGACTCCTGGAAAATGAATTCCTTACCAACATCTTATTCATTCTCGTCTTCAGACCCCTTATAATAGATCACTAAAATTTGTCGTAAAATCTCAAAAGCTGTTTTTTTCCTACGAGCCATTGTGTATCGATAGCACTGAAATTTATCAGACCGGACGCACAATATCACTGGGAAATCGTGAATCGTCTAGTTTTCACTCCCGTTTTCACTGATAATGAATGTAACTTTGTAATAAATAACAGTGTCGGTTAAAATGAAAGCAGAAGAAAAGAAAAAAAGGAACCACCGTTGGCAAGAAAAATGGGTGTTAGGGGTAGGGGATAGGGGAGTTGTTAAGGGTGAACCCAACTTCCGCTCGGATGGACTATTTACTGTAACAAGCAGTAGTACGCTACTCTGAGAATTGCTTATTGTACTAGTCCATGGTGATTGTGCAGAATTTGTAGGTCTACACGACGCACCCAAAGGAGAGGTGGTAGGTACCTTTGAACGAGCAAAAGTATAAGTACGGTACACTACACTACTGAAAATACATAGGATAAGTCAGGAATTTTTCGAATAGCACTGAGCTCACCAAACAGTGTTTTTAAAGCGAGTTGCTCTGTAGAACTCAATCTAACTGGTGCCGGATAAGTATGTATCCTTTTCTGCTCGGACCATAGAAGGCTTTATACTAGTTGCTTCACAGAAAGTTTTTATGGTATCTTGGAGGTCTGCGGAATCAAGGACATTGAATGCAAGAATACTGTGAACGCCTGACGTTCTGTTAGACCATGTGGGGTTTATAGAGATATTATTAGGTGATCTTGTTTGAGTTAGCCATGGACAGACGGCTTTGGGCAGTATGCAAGTGGTTGTGGGTTTCTCAGTAATACGATGTTCCTGAGAATCTACCAAAATTTGTTTTTAGCTGGCTAGATTTATGGAACCATCATTTGTATTGATTAACTTATGGGGTATCGCATAGTCGCCCCCAAGTAATGACCTGGCTGTTAGCCGTGTGTCAAATTGTTAAGGTGCTACATTGCTGTGAGAATTCACTTGGGTGGAGGATAGTCTGGTAGACAGGTATAGATCGACCTCATGAATGTTGGTGCTCAGCGGCTGTGTTACATGATCTTTTTTAGATTGGCGTTGCGCTTGTCTTCGAGGACTGTTGCACTACGTTTTAGTAATCTAAAGCTGCACGGTATTTGATGCACCTCTTATCAATATTGCAAAATCAATGGGTTCTACTATACTGGTGGATGGGGTATCATTTACATTTGTGTTCAGACATTTAGTTTGGTTGCTAATACAAGATTTCTTGTGCTTAGAAGGATTTGTAGATATCCTTGTAACATGGTTTGGCGTTTCAGCGCATAGAGTAGCGGTTTCGGTTAATGCTTCCGTCGTACTAGTTTCTGAGCTATTACAGAGAGGATCTACTCCATCTCTGTTGACTTCGCTGTGATTAATATGTTTTATTTGGAGGCTGATTGCACTACCCGTGCTGGTATGTAACTCAGGCAGACTGTCAGTAGTCGTGGTAGTGACTTTGCTGCAACTAGAATTCCGAAGGCCTGTTCGAATGTAGCAAACGCTGATTTTGCCAAACTTCTCTTTACAGAGGCGTTTCATCGGTCATTATCCTTAGTGTTTTGAAGGTGGTACTTTCTGCTATCTGCACGCCTTTTTTTGATAAACTCGTTTGCAACCACTGAAGTGGAAAAGCAAGGTATGATTTTGTTGTGTCTTCAGGGCTCGACTTAGCGGCTTCCTAGATTGTGCCACGCGATTCAAAAGACAAACCACTGGACGAGTAGTATATTGGCGAAACACAGAACAGGCCGCGTTGGGATGAAAACACCCTGATACAGTTCAAATCACGGAAGTGTGCTCGTTTGATTTTATATGTCTCAAAGAAACAAGGGACGTGTGAGTGGCGTGAAACAAGCGATAGTAACAATGTTCTGCAACATGGAAAAACACTAGTCTGCTTGTAACTAAGACTGTTCTAATGCAAGGCACACGGTTCCTTGTGGGAAATCGCGCACTTACCTTTCCGAACAAGTCAATTTGTTTCGTATCGGTGCGCATTTGACTTTGGTCTGTGTGAAATTCTGCTTTTCCATCCAAGTTACAAGATTTGGCCTGAATCAGTGGCGCCAACTCGACTTGATTTTCAGACACGCGATTTTCCTTAGAGCAGGCCGTTCGAGACCTAACACCTCCCCCTTGTTGAAATAGTTGAGCCGGTATTGGTATACGTCTTCCTTCGGGGGTCTACTTGCATGGGCTGCACGCATCTTCTTCTCCGTGTTGGCCTTAGTTGTTTTTCATTTTCAGCTCGTTCCATGGGTTGTGTATCCTGTCTAATCGAGGTGCTTGGCTGCGAAGGGTACAACAATTCATTGAACGCAAATCCTTCGGAATGGCACGCCTCTTGTATCCTTGTAATCCGCGGTCGTAGTTGGTTCGCATGGCGAACCCACAGCTGTCTGCCAACACGAACATCGTACATTACTTTTCCGCGTCGTCCTACTACTTGACCTGGTATCCAACTGATTTGACGCCCTTGATGAAAGGCAGCAAACACTGCGTCACCAATTCTAAAGTTTCTGTGCTGTGCTCCATGTCGCTTGTTATAGTGAGTTTCCATTAGTGAATTCGTATGATGTATCGGTGGGCGTTTTGGAGTCATTAAATCTAGTGTGGTCCTCAGTCTTCGACCCATGAGTGCTTCAGCGGGTGACTTTCCATCTGGTGCATTGGGATTCGGAGTAACCCGATAATTTAGCAGAAAATTTTCCAGCCTTTCATCCAGGGTCCCCTCCCCCTTCGATTTTAACAAAGCACGTTTCAGGGTATCAACATACCTTTCTGCTTGGCCATTGGATTGGGGATGATAAGGTGCAGTCCTCATATGCTGTATTCCATTTTGTGCACAAAAATCAGCGAATTGATAAGAAGTGAACTGTGATCCATTGTCTGATACGATCGTTTGTGGCAGCCCATACTGACTGAAAAGACGCTTCAGTGCAAGAATTGTGCTGTTTGAGGACGTATTTCGCATCACAGTAACTTCAGGCCACTTACTGTATGCATCGACAATGACGAGAAAGAAAGTTCCCTCAACTGGTCCCACAAAGTCCACATGTATTCGCGACCAGGGTGATTCGGGACGCGGCCAAGATTGTAATGTTGTGCGCACTGGTAACTTGGAAACACTGCAGCATTTAGAACAGGATCGTCCAATGTCTTCTATTTGACTATCCATTGAGGGCCAAAACACGTAACTGCGCGCGAGTGCTTTCATTCGGGCGATTCCTGGGTGACCTTTATGCAATTGCCTCAGAACTCGTTGCCTGAGTACTTCGGGAATGACAAGGCGATCTGCGAAAAAGAGACAGGCATCGACTTCAGACAAAGCATCACGCCGTGTGAAAAACTGTGCAAGCGATGTGTCAGGGCACTGCTTTGGCCAACCTTGTCTTGTATAAGTCAAGACTTTCTGTAGCAATGTGTCCCGACTTGTGGCTGCCTGAACCATTCTTGCAGTTAGTGGTAAAGTACTCACGGCATCCTGTATCATGTTGCTGATATCCGTGTCGTTTGTGATTGAAGCAATGACGGCATCCTCCGGCTCACGTCGACTAGTATTGATTAATCTGGACAGAGCGTCCGCAATATTTTGACGTGGATGAGATGGCACGGTTGTATGATGCACCATGACGTTCGTTTCGGAACACACATGATTCAATGGCACACTAAACAAATTCAACCTTTCGATCTAATCAATCCCAAGAAGATTAATGTCAACAGAAGAAATTAGGTAGATGGTTCCACAGAGCTTCAGATCCTTAAACTTAACTTCACATGTAAACTCACCATCTAACCTCAGTGGTTCACCGGATGCATTTTGGGCGGTCAAATTTGTGTGCCTGAGTGGTGGTCTACCGAGTCTCATCCATGATGATCGAGAAATTATGGTAATGTCTGATGCCGTATGTAGTTGCAACGATATGGGAACATTATTAATTTCAACGGTGAGGTACTTTCGCTTGCCGGCAATTTCTGTGCGACAGGTCGCGAGAACTACTTTTGTCTTTGCACCGTTAAAGGTCTTTTTGGATTTAGAGTTCGTGCGCAATTTAGGGTCAGACACAGTCCTGGGATTGTAGGTGGTGTGACAATGTGATTCTTTATGACCAAGGCGTTTGCACTTCTGACAGAGATGTTTCCTATAGGAACAGAAACGTACGAAATGCCATCCACCACAGTTTCAACAGGAAGTTGGGGGTTTCTGGTTGGGGACTCTATGGCTCACATTTTTACCGCGAACAGCTGTGTGATAAATTTGCGGTTCATTCCTGAAATGAGCATTTTCAATCATTTTGGTATCGTGCTTTAGATTAATCAGTCTGTGGCATTCAGCAGCAATGTCCTGTAATGTCATATGAGGTTCCTGTTCTAACTTATGCAGGATACGTGTGCGTACGTCAGCATCGGCGTGGGACTGAAGACTACAAACAAATATGAGGCTTTTGAACTGATCAGGTATCATCATACCCTGTTTGAAACGTTCACATTCTCGATTCACAACTGCAGCATGTGTTATATAGTCATGAGTCTCACTTTTGACCAACTTAAAACAATGATAACGAATACTGAACAAGGATGCTTGCTCACCGAAAATAGTCTTCAGTATTGTCACCGTCTCGTCGAGGCGAAAGTCTCTGGGGTTCTTTGGCAGCACAAAATTCGTGTACCGTTCATGTCCGACTGCACCGAGTTTGCGCAACAACAACCGAACTTTCCATGCATCATCTTGTGCCTCCAATTCAATGCAGAAAATATCTTCATATTTCTTAAACCAGGATTCAAAAGTTACTCCGTTTGATTCATTAAAAATGAACTCCGTAATGGATGCTGTAACTGCGTCTACTGAGATCCGTGCGCCAGCATCTTGGGATTCTGGTTAAATGTTCAGTTTCTGTGCGAATAAGTCGAACAGCTGTTTCTGGGATCTCTCGAACTGCACCTGCTGTTGATGGAGGAGCTGCTGCATCTGCTCAAAAGAAATGGCCATTGTTCAACACCTCTGTCGCCAGAAATCTGTTGTGTCTTCAGGGCTCGACTTAGCGGCTTCCTAGATTGTGCCACGCGATTCAAAAGACAAACCACTGGACGAGTAGTATATTGGCGAAACACAGAACAGGCCGCGTTGGGATGAAAACACCCTGATACAGTTCAAATCACGGAAGTGTGCTCGTTTGATTTTATATGTCTCAAAGAAACAAGGGACGTGTGAGTGGCGTGAAACAAGCGATAGTAACAATGTTCTGCAACATGGAAAAACACTAGTCTGCTTGTAACTAAGACTGTTCTAATGCAAGGCACACGGTTCCTTGTGGGAAATCGCGCACTTACCTTTCCGAACAAGTCAATTTGTTTCGTATCGGTGCGCATTTGACTTTGGTCTGTGTGAAATTCTGTTTTTCCATCCAAGTTACAAGATTTGGCCTGAATCAGTGGCGCCAACTCGACTTGATTTTCAGACACGCGATTTTCCTTAGAGCAGGCCGTTCGAGACCTAACAGATTTCTTCGCGGATCTTTCTTCCAGAGCTATATACAGTTACACCAACTGCTTTTCATATTACCTGCCTGCAGAATTACTTGTAGTAATTCTTCAGGCAGTTTATCGCGTAAGTTAAATGCTATTGCAGTTTTGAAAATTGCACTCTTTGAAGCATTTCTGTTGCAATAGTTTCAATGAAGACGCTCGGAGGTTAAACGTGATCTCTATTTGGGTTTACCTTCCCCTGTTGCAGGACAGTCAGTTTCAAGTGTTTGGAGGGTTGTGTGCAAATACTCAAAAGAAGCTAGTTTTATTTTGAGTCCATCCAGCTCATGTTGGATAGACCTGAATTGGGCAAGTATGTCGGTTAACGGGCAAATCATTTTATCCTATTTATTTCACAGCCCAGGTGGCTTAGTGAATTTTGGCAAAATGGGGGCCTTAGCAGCTACAGAATTTTTCTGGAAAACCGTGTACATCTGCGTGACATTATAAGTGACTGTTATGGGTTAGGGAGTGATCCTAGGTAGGGAAGGATGCTGTAGAATTTCTCAATGGAACCTAACCTGGGCTATATCAAATACTTCAAATACGGGGTAGAGGAGTTAAAAAGAACCACCTTTCTTGAATTTTTGCTGTCTGAAGAGTTCAGATTCGCGGCGTTATTCGCTAAGGGTCACGTGTGATTTCTCGCAGTTGGAGGTTGATAGGCGGGTTGGATCTCACGGCTACGTTTGTCGCTAATAGCCACAGGTATCAATTCAACGAATGTGTTCAGGGCAGGTCGTGATGTCGAGTACTGCAGAGTGGGGCCTGGAGATGGAGTGGGGCAGTTGTCTACACACACACGCACAAGTGAACGCACGCGCGCACGGGTTAAGCAACTGATCCTTTGGACTCGGCAGGCTAGCTAACGCACGCTAAACAAACAAGGCAAGAACCGGTAATGTGACGGTTACCGATCGACAACGAGTGAGACAAACCGCTCGGCGAGGTTGGATTGACAGCAGTAAGCTGATGGCTGCAATGTATGATATAGCAACTTAACACGGCATTGGATAAGCATGAGTTCAGGCGAATTGTGTAGCCTGGAAAAAATTCTTTCGAGTGAGAGTAAAATGTTCAACGGGGACTTGAAAGTGAAGAAGTTTCGCGCTGGAATTTATAATAACAAGTCCGTCCGAACTGCTGAAAGTGAATATTGTGTTACAGCACTGGGAGTACTGCGACAATTTTATATCCATCTTGTGGAGCTGTTAAATCCGAGCGGAATGAGTGTAGGCTCAATGATGAGCAGTAAGATAGTGATGGATTATTCATAAAATAGTCGCAAACTCTGATTTGGTCCGTTCGCACGTCACTTTGCGTAAAATGCAAAAATTGCATTCTATTGGCTACACAAAGAAGCGGACTTAGGAATTTCAAGTAGGCCTTAGTGAGGTACCGCGCGGAGGTCTAATCTGTATAAGAAATGAAAGTTATCAGTTGCAGGAGCTGTATACGCGAGTAGATCATCGTAGGTAATTCTGAACAAGCGTTGTACTTACCCACTTGTATGTGGTAAATTCATGGGGCCAGATCGGTTTCTGTGGATTGTCGCAGTAGCTACAAATCAATGCGCGACTGCGGCATGCAGTACACGAATGCACATGTGCCAAGGCAATATTATTGATCGCATGCAGAAGTTGTTGTTCCAACCGTCCCGATCGCACGTTACACAAATCCTTTCAGAACAAGGAGAAAGAGACGGAAGCAACTCGACCAGTGATTGTAGAGGGGGTCATCCATGGTTCAGTAGATTCAAACGACAAAATTAAACAAATCAATCATGCTACCATGGAAATGAACAGCTAACCAGTCCACGGTCCGTTTCGCATATGGACGAAAAAGATAACAAATGTCCTCGCTTCGCCTGACGCAGTGCATGAGAAAAGTAAGCACCAAATCCTGATGTGCACCAAGACATCTGTGTCTGTGATCGCGTGGATGTCAGTTGAAGGAATAAACAAGCACTTACTTCATAGTGTGGGTACTTTACAGCAGTTTCCCACACAATCATAGAAACAACTTTATATGAACTAAATTCACAATTTGTGGGCAGCTTCACTAAAGTGGTTGAAGACATTGACAGTAATCTAGGAAGACATGAACAGCGCTCCCTGAATGCATCTAATGTACTGAGCGTGACAATTTAATGCTCAGAGCCAGTGAATGACCTATGGTATCAGCAAATGAGTGTCGGTATAGCCTAAGGAAAATTATTAGTCGAACCACCTCATCCATAAATCACACGTGGTGATCGGCCTCTTGTGGAGTGGGGGACCAGAGTCCTACATGGTCGTGGAACCGGGATACAAATACTTCTCAAATTCCGGAAGGTACTTCTCAATCACAAACTACAGCTTGGCGGAATTCAGTAGAATTCACATATTCTGGAAACGCGCTGCAAATAGCATGTGGTTGGGTGGATGCAGGGATGGCACACTTGGCTGGATGCTTTGGGTCTGAAGTAAAACGCTTTCTACGCCGCCTGTCATTGACGTAGAAGCATACTGCAAAATCTTTTGGTTAAACACAATAAGCGCCTGATTGCAGTACTCACAACTGTACACCGACTGAATTCCAAGAATATGCTGAAAAGAGAAGACACTTTCCCAAGTTAATCATCTACGCGTCAGCAATTCGAATTGATTCAAATGATTACTGTGCAGAATGTGGTTTAGATGGATACGTATTCTCAACCGATCCTCCTGCTAAACATATGTACTCACTGCCAGAATCCGCACCGTTATTTCTGATAAAAAATAGCGCACTCCCAAAACTGATTAGAGTGCACAGGTGAATGACAACTCGCGTAGTGCTAACACACCAGAGTTGTCATACACAACCTTTCTAAAGTAGGGTTTTTGTCGACTTTCAGCGATTAATAAAAACAAAATGACATCAGCTAGCTAATCATATGCGCTAACCACAAACGGCTAATGAACCGCTGTTGTCACAGAGTCACAAGCTGTGGGTCACCGGTGTACCCAAAGCACCAACGGTAAACTTGGACACCAACAGATTCAGGTCACAGCGGCCAGTTCTACTGAGAGGGGTATCCAGGCCTTCAGCAACACATGCAAGGCGGTGTTTTAATGCAATTAGCTTTGACATGCATTGATCAAATGGGAAACATAGAGCACGGACTTTGATGTAATTAATTGAGGTTTCAACGCAGTAGATTCCAAATAAACATGGCCGGAAAAGCACTAGACTGCAGTTTCGACCTGTTGGATCTCGTCAGTAGTGTGCATCTATCGGATTCATCAGGATTCAAAACCACGACCACCAGCGGCTCGAAACGCTAACCATCAGCTTATGGCACTGGACCACGGCGCACAGTAGCAGACAGTCATGAATTTCAAGCTAACTGGCGCGCAATGTTCTACACTGCAGTACAGATTACGAACGTTGAGGAGGGCTGGGTTGGTCCCGAGGGACACGTCTTCCAATGGCAGTAGCTGTGTACGTGTCACGACTCCGAGTAGTACGTATATTGGCACGTAACTAAAAAGTAAAAAACAGCGTACATACGACAGATAGAAGATTCGAAATCCAGTGATACAAGTTATCAGTTGAAGAGGTGTGTGTATGCATGCATGCGGACGTGTGTGTAAAGGATCAAACAGAGTAAAACAAACGAAGTCAGTGGTCCTGACACACCACCGTCGTGGCAAACGTCACAGTCCGGGTTTCAAACGTTTAATCGGTTTGCCAATGCAGCTTGACCGTCAAAGTAGAGCTTCATTTTTAGATGTAGATTCTTCACCTATCGCTATTTGCTCTGTGCCAGAGAATGGGGGTCGGATTGCGTTTCCGTTGGTGTGTCAGGAGCCTGGGCGCGTACGTGACCCAAAAGTAGGCGAGTGAACCCTTCGTGCTGAAGAGGCATGTGGTTTTGATTCCATGTTGAAACGATTACGGTTGCCGGGTTCCAAGATTGTTCATGCGGTAACCGGGTGTAAGCTGGTCAATCTTTGGATTAAAATCTGCGTCTTGGACTCGTCTAAGTACACAGATTCCTTCTGTTGCTCCTCAACTCCAACACGCCGGTTGGGGAACAACAAGTGACGCCTAGTCATAAAATTTCTGCCGAACATCAATTCCGCCGGGGATTTAGCGGGAGTCGCCGTGGGCGTAGAACAGTAGGCGAATAGAAAGCGATCCAGTTTTGTTTCTAAGGTTCATGATCGCTGCTTTGGTACGGCACGTTCTGCTAGCCCGTTGGATGCTGGGTGAAAAGGGGCCGATTTCATGTGCTGGATTCCGAAATAAATAAATAAACTCCTATTCTCGACAATGCGAGGCATACCTTTACAGGCATCATCATGTTAAGCTAACATAGTGTGATCAAAAATGTACAAAAATACATATTTGGCATGACAGTGAATGTGTGTACGTATGCTGAGGCTGATGTTGCATTCATGATGCTTCTTCACCGCAGTTGGGATAAACCAACTTACACTTAAACTTGATCTATTTAAGCTGGATAAATTTTATTCCACTTTATTTGGTTTGTTCTGCCTATCTGAATAATCTTCTATTAACTTGCACACGTTGCTTACGCTAAATGCGCTTGTCTTCAATAATCTTATCGCGTTTGTAGCATATTTTGAATAACTTGTGGACATTTTGTACTTTTCGCGCATTCATTGCTAAGCAACTTACTTCAGATGCTAATTTAACGAAGAGTTATGTTTGCATAGCCGTATGCTTTAACAAATATATTTTATTTGATAATGTCATTTCAAGTGATTGGCTGTTGCTTGATATCCCCGGTGTGGTTGCGCTTGATGTGCATGTTGACAAGGTGCATACCTGTCTATTACCCACTACCTCGTCCATACTGTCACTAGGAGATAGTTGGTCGTTGCTGGAGGGGACGGGGTGCACGGTCCTTGTGGCCGTGCTAGGCTCGAAGAGTGGTTCCATGCACTCAGTGTGGAGCGGACTACGGTCCAGCCACCGCCTTGTGTGAGCTGGATTCCCAAATACAGTGTGCTTGTGTTTGCCTGTGAAGGTGTGTGGGCCGGCTCCGTTGATGAAACGTGGCTCTCACCCACATGCCCCCCAGTCTTATTCCTTCGGGTTTACACTGGATATGGGGTGTGTGGATGGAGCTGTGAGTGGTGCGATGCAAGCCATGCATGGTCCCTCTGTCGGCGCAGGCGACCTGTGGCCGGCCAGTGACAGGCAAATCCGAAACCGGATGCCGCCAACCAATTGTGTATGAATTTAGCTGTGTAGCTTGTGTTTGTGAATGTGCCGCAGCATTTTTGACTGTTTATAATCGTCAGGAATGTGAGAATAAGCGATTGATGTCCGTGGGTTGGATAGCATTTTCCGGATATCCACGGGGCAGTAACTTTAGTTTGTGGCGAGTCACATTCGCCACGTCGCAGTGTTGATAAGCAGACATTTGTGGCTTTTTATAAGGGGAAAGCTTGCCAGGCGAAAACCCACCACGTCCTGGAACACTGCCGCCGCACTATTTGCTGGAACGGGTTAAACTCGAACCACCCAGCTGGCACCACGAGGAGACTGTTCGGCTAGCCAGTCAAAATTTATTGTATTCAGCACTGATAAAAGGTGAACCATTGTCTGTGCGGTTTACGGAATGCCGAAGGTGACAAACGAAGAGCGCACTTTGGAAATGGCGGCTTCCGATGTCGTTTGGGCAACTGGCTGTACATCAAACCATTTAGAATGCACACAAATAAGTAAAAGAAACATTGTCCCATTAATCGGTCCGAAGCAGTCCGCGTAAATCCCCTGCCACGGTTTGTCAGGCCAACATCAAGGATGCACTGGATCGGGTGGTTTGTTACGTTGATGAGCTGATAGATGTCGCAATTCCTCAATGGGTTTTCCATGTCCGAGTCAATCTGGGGCCACCAGAAGTACCCTATTACTAAAGCTTTCATTCTTAACACACGTGATAGGCATCATGAAGTTTGTTGAGGATCACTGAACGCACCTTAAGAGACCAGTCGAGAACCCCAGAAAACATGACCGTCGAATATATTCAGTCCGTTCCTGCGGATTATGAAAGCCCGTAAATCAGCTGTTCCTTCAGAGGGCCAACCCGACGTTAAAAAGCGTCTCGCCATTCACAGTTCTCGGTCAATGTAATGATGGATTCTTGCACTTTGTATCGGTGTTGTGTCGATGTTGCATTAAATTAACCAGTTCAAACGGAAGATCGTGTGTAGTTTCCGTTATTGGCAGACAGCTAAGCGCATCGACTGTGCGGTTGCTGACGCCCGTATTGTAATCAACTGTAAGCACGCAAGGCTACAGCCCATCTTTATATTCTGGGTGTTGCCATCTGTTAAATGCCCATGGCTTCTCACAATAACGATATCAAAGGTCCCTGTGTAGCTCGAAGAAATTCCCACTAAGGTAATGGTGAAATTTCTTTACCCCAAATATTACGACCAATGCTTCCTTATCCAGTTGTGGGTAGTTCTTCTCTGCTGTTTGTAGGCTGCGCGATGTAAATGCCATAGAACGTAAAAAACCATCGCTTGTGTGGTGGCACAGGACAGACCTATCCCCACAAAGAGACGCGTCACATTGAAAGATGGGTGGCTTATTAGAATCATAATGTACTAATGTTGGTGGCTTAGTAAAAGCCCGTTAGCGCTCTTGGTATATTATCATGCAACAGCTGATTTAGTGGAGATAATATCGCAGATGCATTAGGCAAGAAACGGTAATATTGGGACAGCATGCCTAGGAAAGAACGGAGTTCATCACTATTTTTCGGTTTTGGACTCTAAAATAGGTTTCAGGTTTTCATTTAAAACACGTAACCCGTGTTTATCACACCGGTATCCAAGGTAACAAACAGAAGAAAAAAGAACTCATATATGGATTTTCTCAAGCTAAATACACTCCGTTCTAAAGGGTCGAGTAGGACAGCGAATGTACGAAGACGCTCTGTACCAGAGCGCACGGAGATGAGAATATCGTGTATATAGGCACAGGCCAAATGTATGTCCTTTACTAGGTCGTCAATAATCCTTCGGAAGATTCCCGGAGCAGAGTGATGCCAAAAAGACAAAGAGTATGTTTGTATAGTCCCATTTGTGTGACGATCGTAGTAGGCTTCCTCGTAAGCTCGTCGAGCTTTATCTGCGAGTACGCATGACTGAGATCAAGTTTGGTAAATTTCTCACCACCAGTCAGTGTTGCGAAAAAGCAAACAGATACCTGGCTAGCATGAAGGATTGATTGTTGGTCATTTTGTAATCACCACAAAACCGTACGGAGCTGTCAGCTTTGGTCACATGCATAATGGGTGTTCCCCAGTCCGAAAATTGTACAGGTGTAATAATACTCATGGGTTGTAAGCGATTTAAATCCTCTTCAACTTTAGGCTACAAGGGGTATACGAGAGTGCGCGTTCTGGCGAATTTTTGTCAAGAGCCTTCCTTTGATTTTATAGTAGCCTGAAATCTTTTCAATTTCCCAAGTTCCTCGGTAACAATAGCTCAATGTTGTTCTAGTCTTAAGACATTAATGACTGTTTTCACCACATCCAGTATATCCGGGAGTGTAGGTATTCAGTCTCTCCCAAGCAGATTTGGGCGAGCCCCTGAGATCACATGCACAGGAAGCTTGTGTATCATGTCGCCTTAGTGCGACTTTACAAAGCGTTTAACAAGGACGCGTAAGGATTCACTCGTGTAGGTATGAAGAACCGAATTGCAAAAGGATAAGGGCGACAGTGTTTTAACAGCGTTTTCCCTAGTTATCGTCACAGATGACGCTGCATCGATCTCCACCTGTACTTTATATCCATAAAGGTAAAGCTCCAGGGTGTATGACGCTGGCCGCATATTTGGAACAGTAGTTAACCATATGGAATGCAATACAAGCTCACGACCATTCCACGCTTGTGATGGGTAAGCCCCACCTGAACGCCTTTTGACCGATCTGCACACTCGCGCTAAGTGGCCCATCTTCCCGCAGTTCCGACACACGGTCTTTTGATGTCGACAGCAAGATGAACAACTGTGCCGTTCACCATAAGGGTAGCACACGAACGAATTGATGCTAGTGAGTGCCCTTTTTATTTTTGCAGTAATGTTTACCAATCACAAATCTTAAGAACGTTTCTAGTTGTTGGGGAAGGTTCTCCCTTTGTCGAGCAATAGAATAAGCCGCCTCCCAAGTCAGCGAACAATAATCTTGTGAGAAGAGCTACTCGCGGGTGTTCTGGCCTGAGGTCCCAGAGATAAGGCACTGAAGTAGCATGGTTTCTCCGAAACTCGCTGGATCGATTTCATCGTATTTACAGTCAGATACAGCTTGCAGCACATGAGTGATGAACTTATTCACACTTCCGTCTGATTTCTGATAGTTTGGAGAAGTAATATCTAGTCAAAAACACATTTTCACGAACACCCCAAAGAGCACTGAATGTATCCAGAGCGTTGACTGTGGTAGGACAGACGTCATAAATATATCTGACCCACATCCCCAAGGAACTGTCGTAAATTTCTATTTTTGTCTACGTAAGAAATACTGCTGGATGTAAGGTTTGAGGCATCTCCAGGTAAACAAGAAAAGTTTTCCGCGATCGATTCCAAGTGTCGGTAGAACAGGACCAGAACACCCGAGCAGCGTTTGCCATAGACATGCTAACCTCCGTCGCCAGAATGTCACAACTCGCTCCCAAAAGTACGCGTCACGTTCCCATAGCCAAGAGGTAGAAGACAGCATACATACGACAGACAGTATACTCAACATCTAACGTGATACAAGTTATCAGAATTGAAAAGAGGTGTGTGTGTGCTTGCGTGCGGACGTGTATGTAAAGGTAAAACAAGCGTAAGCAACAATCATTAAGTAAACGCGTGACAGTACGACATAGTAATTAGAAACTGTTCGGGCGAATATTTTAATATGCTCATGAATAGGGGATTTTAATGTAATTAATTGATTCCATCGCAGTAGATTACCGAAGGAAATAGCAGCCACTGCCATGTTAACACATTACACACCATAGCCTAGTGAGAAGAGTTAAGTGAATCAGCGATCGTTACCAGATACACCAACGTTAGCGAATCATGCTTACATCAACTCAGTAGCAAGATGTAAAGAGCGAACATAGAGTGAGGTGCAAATGAACATGTACCTGCATTGAGTAGAGATCCAGATCGCGCAAACTGGTAAACATGAAGTCAAACGGTCGGAAGGTATTGAGCAGGTCCATTGCTGTTGCCGCATCGCAACGGTTTATTTGATGCCATAAAAACACAATCATACGGCGCAGCTGTCGGACGACAAACAGCTCCGGAATGACAGCGTAAAGTGTGGGGTTCAACTTGGCCACATTTATGATTGGTCTTCGATGCAGACCGAGAAGAAACGACTTGGTTGGTTGGCTAACTGAGGCAGTTGAGAAGAGAAAGCAGTGAAAACGGAGTAGTTAGCCAGGGCTCATTGACTGTATACATCCTGATAGCCGCACGCGTGACAGTGAGCAGATGTGGGTATGCTTGAAATTCGACCACCGAACGCGTATCTGAATCATAGAAGCAAAGGGCAACAGACGTTCGTGTACTATACAGCGACATGGCTGCCGTGTTAAAAGGTCCGCAGGATAGGACGATTCACGAATGTATTCAGAAATTTGCCTTTTTGTCTATAACCAGAGGTTCGGATAAAAACTCACGGGTCGGTGAGCAGACCAAATAAACGTGGAAATGCAAAAGCTATGCAGCGAGCAGATGCGAGTCGATGGGGTGTCTACCGTGGAGTTCGATACCCATGGCGAAGCCGAAACTTTGGCTTGCAATCTGATCGTCAAAGGAAATAGCGATAGACATATTTTCAGTTCGTTAATGATACCGTAAGGCCATACTTGAGAACTTGGCTGGTTGAGAGTTACAAACGTGGCCAAAAAAATAGAGAACCCTTACAATAAAACGGAGATTCACCTGGTTGTAACGAGAAATTCCAATTGTGTAGGACAGCACGAGGAATGATCGCCTCTTGAAGTTGATGGCAGTTTGCACAGTAGAGGCGTGCATCATAGTAGTCCAAAAAAGTGGAGCCTAAATAATCAAAACGGAAAGTCGCTGTTCGAAAGGAAACCAAAGTTGAACTCATTTCGTCTAAGTAGATGTGATTGGAGAAATGAAGCGTGGCGGATCTATTTAAGGTGACCTGACAGGTGAAAATAATAGTAATAGGAAATAAAAAAGCAAAAACGACAGGAGCAAGTAACTGAAGTCGTAGAAGATCGGGTTTATAAACAAATAAATAAATGATCCATGGTGCTTAAATACGTCACATGCTACGGTTCGATAACCGTCGAACAATGAGTAAGCATCGAGTTGTATACCAGTAAGCGCAATAGACCTGTCCTCGACCCGACCTCAGTAACAGTACCACGGACACGTACGAACGGCAATCAGAAGAGAACCACGACGCACTTGGAACCGTGCATTCTGATTAATGACTCATCTAAGCTTGGGCAGAAAGCATCAAAGAGCCTGATAAGCGGATCGGTAGAGCGAATTGCGCTAAAACGCGCAGCTCGATTTGTCCTGCACCACAATCAGAGAAACAGCCAACACCTAGTACGGCAGCGAATTTATCCCTGGAGAAAAGTAGCAGCGTTCCGGCATGCCTGGTTGCAAAGCCTACGATTTCTTCAGTTGACAGTAAAGTTCTGATGCGCAATAAGCAAATCGGCGATAACGAATGAAAAAGCAAATGGTTTTTCACCCACCTGAATCCTATGATTTCAATCCACAGGTGCGCTATGAACATGTTATCGAGTTTTTGCACTGATTGATAGGCTTCTCGATGTGAATGAGGGCGGGATGCAAGTGAAACAGATCACCCGTCTCGGAGAACTGAGCGCAAAAATTGACCTGTGAGAGTGACTTTTGTTGAAGAGGCAAGTCTTACTTTAATATTTTCCCGCTTTAGTAGGCTGAAAGGTCTAAAGATTCAAGTGCACGCTGATTTAGACCCAGTAGACAGAGAGAAACTCAAGCCTGCGATAGCTAACTACAGCAACGCACGGACGATTGAGAACCCAATCTGTGAATTGTAAATTTTCGGGTAGTTGCCCGGATTCCTCCGCGAATCCGGATCAACAGGTCTCTAATGCTTCAGGCGCGCCCAGCAGTTCCTACCGCGGTCTGCGAGTAGCCTTTACTAACGTGTGCAGTCTGATGAACAAGCGCGATGTGCTGTACTACTTTGTAAGCTCTCAGCGGTCAGATGTATTAGGCCTTGCTGAGACATGGTTAAACTCCGGCGTAACCGCCCAAGAAGTAGAAATCAGCGGATACTCGTGTTTTTGCTGTGACAGACCATCAAATGATCGCGATGGCGTTCCGATCTACATAAGGTCTTCCTTGTGTTTGAGAGTAGTGAGCACCTATTGAAGCGCTGATGGTCTATGTAAGCAGTTGTGGTGTTCGATTCACCTCAGACGCTGCGAGACGCTCGTGGGCGTGGTATACGGTAGTCCACTGAGCCGCTGCTTGCCGCATGTCCGCAACCACATGAGTCGTCCGCTGTTCTTACTCATGGGCGATTTCAACTTACGTCGAATACAGTGGCCTGAGGCTGAACTTCTCCCCAGCCACTGTGAAGTGGAGAGGAAGTTTACGGAGTTAATACTTGAAACCGGGGCCACACAGCACATCAACCAACCGACGCGCATAACTGCGTGCGCGACGCCATCGTGCTTAGACTTGCTTTTGATCATCTGTGAGCCCCCGGGATAGAGTGATCACTCGATGATCATAGCCAGCTTAAAACTGTCGCTGCCGTATTCTCGCCGCTGGAGCCAGCCTGCAACTATTGGAAGGCGGACTTTAATGGCCTCACTCGAGCAGATGGACTGGTCGTTACCAGAGGATTCCTCTGTTGAAACTTGGACTATCATCAAAGAGGGAGTGAAATTTTTGTGCGCCCGATTTATACCCCTCAAGTATAAGAAAGTTGGTTCGACAAGGAGTACAGCAAATTGGTCCGACGACGACGCAGACTGTGGAACGAATTCATGTTAACTGGCTCTAATAAGGATTACAAGGCGTACAAGGTACAGCGAAATCTCTGCAACAAAGCGGAAACAAAAAAGCGCAGAAGCTTCGAAGAGTAGCTTGCAGCCGCCGCAAAAACTGCTCTCAAGAAAATCTTCGCCTACGTGAAGCGCCGCCTGAGGCCTGTAAGCAAAGTGCCAATGTTGGAAGGCTCAAATGGACAGCCCCTAATCTCGAGCACAGATTGTGCGTCCGCAATGGCGGCGCACTTCGCTTCCGTATTTGCAAGTGACTAGTTGTCTGTACCAAATTCGATGAGTACCGCTCCTACTGAACTAGACAACCTGGATTGCAGCATTGAAGACGTACGCAAGCTGCTAACAAGTCTTGACGGGACGAAGCCTGCTGGGTCAGATGGAATCCACTCACTGGTCCTCAAGACCCTATCGGCCATCATCTCGCCTTCTGTAACTGAGCTGTTCAACTGATCACTATCCCCTGGTTTATTACCGGGCGACTGGAAATGCTCAGTCGTAAAGCCAATAACGAAAAGTGGTGACGCAAGTAAGGCGAATAACTATCGGCCGAGCTGCTAGACCGCTGTTTTCGCAAACAGGCTTGAGAAAATCGTATAGAAAAGTCCTCTGCAGCTTCTCGAGTCGAAAAGCCTCTTGAAGCCCGCACAACATGATTTCGCGAAACGTCGCTCGTGCATCACAAACCTACTGTTGACAAGGCACAAATGGCTACAAGCAAGGCAAGTCGATCGACGTCATTTACCTTGAGTTCAGTAAGGCTTTGACAAGGTGAATCATGCAGTGCTCCTCGACAGGCTGAGGGTGTGCAGTGTTGCCGGCTTGCTGCATCGATAGATCAGGAATTTCCTTATTGGTCAAAATTGGAGGGTCCAGGTGGACAACCATTTAACCGACTGGTATCCATCGAGCAGTGGCGTACCCCAAGGAACTGTACTGGGGCCAATTTTGTTCCTGATCCATGTACACGATGTGCCTCAGCTACTCCGTTCACCTTGTGCATTATTTGCAGATGACTTGAAGGTGTAATAATCTGCGCAACCAATGATTGTGATCTGTTTCAGCAGGACCTCGATCGCCTCTCCAGGTGGTCTGCAGAGGTCAACCTTCCGATCAACCCAGTCAAGTCGCAATTCATGAGGCTGGGTAAGTATGAGCACAGTCGAGCCTACACTGTGGCAGGTCAACCGTTGCATCCCGCGCCTTTCATGCGAGACCTCGGTATACTGTCACGCTACGACCTAAAGTCCATGGACAACATGAATAGATTTTACCAAAACAGCCTTCGTATGCTTTGGATGCTCAGGTGCAGTTTCAGTACTGGGTCCGAAGAGATTGCCACTCGTCTCAATAATACGACCAATGCTAGAGTATGACTCTCCCACGTATTGTCCTATCACACGGGGCGAGGTAGGAAAGATTGAGCGAGTGTAGCATGTGGTCACCAGGCTGATTCTCAATTTACGAGGTGTGCCGTACGAAGACTGATTTAAGAAATTAGGGCTTTACACCCTATCTTATCGTCGATTGCGCGTTGACTTCATCATGACGCACCGGATATTATATTTCGGTGAATACCCCATGTTGAGGCCGCTGCTGCATCTGCGCATACTAAACAGCACACGAGGACACCGGTACAAGCTTGTACTACCGGGTTTGAGGAGAGTGTTATAATTGCGTCGCCACTGTTATAATTGAGGGAACGCCGCCTCTTGAGATAATTGCGTAATTGCCTGGTAAGAGTGTCGCTGGCACGCCTACGATGGCGGCTGGTTACGCTGACCACTCGATCGGAATTGCGCTGTCCTGATGACGCTAGCTTAGCTGATGAGGCGGATAATTGAGCGAGCTTGTGAACAATCCTAGCCGCACGTGTTCGGATAGACGCCGAGCCTCGGACGGACGCAGACGAGAGGTTTACGATAGACGCGCGCTAATGACTTAGACACGAAGGCTGACCAGCTAAGGACTCACACGCAATCACGTGACCCGACCGACTCCCAACTGAGGCGAAGAGAAAGAAAAGGCAAGTGGTCCTCTGTAGGCTCTTTTACGACCGACAAAGGGCAATCACAGTTAATGCTATGGGTTATTAAGTTAGGGAAAACAGTCACCACGAAGAGGTGGTAGTTTGCAAATGAGCATTGTCGAAAGGTGCGCAGTTGGGGCGCGTGTCGGAGTGGCTGAGCTCTGCTGCGTTGTGGGGAGGAATTGGACCTCTG